TTCACATACAGCTTTGCTCGCTCTTTATATCAGGTGACAGGTTTTATTGTAGGTTGGCTAATGCTGTGAGAATTGTTTAAAATGGATATTTAAAATGTTTGATCCACATATACCGTGGACTGGGTACCTTGAGCAGTAGACACACTTGGCTTAAGATCAAGCATACACTATTAGGATTAGGGGGGCCTCTAAAGAATTTTTTAAAGTTAAGAATACCATAAGTTTTCGAATACAACTTGATGATTCTGTGGATTTCTTCTGTGTATATTGTTATATCCCCTTTTCATTTCTGATTGCATTAATTTAGATGTTCTCGCTCTGCCTTTTGATTAGTTTGGATAAAGATTTGTCTATTTTGCTGATTTTCTCAGAGAACCAACTCTCTGCCTCATTGATTCTTTGCATTGTTGTCTTTGTTTCTATTTTGTTGGTTTCAGCTCTCAATTTGATTATTTCCTGCCTTTAGTTCTCATGATGAGTTTGCTTCTTTCTGTTCTAGAGTTTTCAAGTGTTCTGTTGACTCACTAGAATGGGATTTTTTCCAGCTTCTTCATGTAGGCATTTAGTGCTATGACCTTTCTTCTTAACACTATTTTCATTGTTTCCCATAAATTTGAGATGCTGTGTGTCACTTTCATTGAATTTTAGGAAGTCTTTAATTTCTTCCTTGACCTATTGGTGAATCAGGTGAGCATTGTTTAATTTCTACCAGCTTATGAACTTTCTGAAATTAATGTTGCTGTTGAATTCTAGTTTTAAGCCATGGCAATCCAATAAGATACATGGGGTTATTCCAATTTTTTGTATCTGTTGAGGTTTGCTTTGTTACCTAATATGAGTTCAATATTTTAGAAGATTCCATGAGGTGCTGAGAAAAGGGTATATGCCGTACACCGCACACCTGTGTCTGCGCTCTGTGCACTTGAACCCAGTTACCAAGCTTCGGGCAAGGAGGCTGGAGGTTAAAATACACAGACACACACAGACAGACAGACAGTGACACTGGTCATCCTTGAATTCCCTAAGAATGCCCTCTTTATTTTGTTCAGGGGCAGATTATATAGAGATAGCCACACCCCAGCCAAACCCACCAGAAACCACTCTCCTGCCATCAGGAACTCCTGAAGGTCTCATGCTCAGAGCAGCTGTAGGCAATCAGATCAGGGGATTACAAGAAATTCAGGATTTGGGGTCTCACTACTCCCAACAAATATATTCTTTTATGTTTGGGTGGAATGTTCTGTAGATGTCTGCTAAGTCTCTTTGAGTCATAACATTGTTAGTTCCCTTATTTCTCTGTTAAGTTTCTGTCTGTTAGACCTGTGCTGTACTGAGAGTGGGGTGTTGAAGTCTCCTACTTTTAGTTTGTAGGGTTTGATGTGTGATTTAAGCTTTAGTAGTGTTTCTTTTACACATGAGGGTGCCCTTGTATTTGGGGCATAGATGTTCAGTATTGAGATTTCCTCTTGATGGATTTTTTCCTGTGATTAATATAAAATGTCCTTATTTGTCTCTTTTGTTTGATTTTAGTTTGAAGTCTATTTTGTTAGATATTAGGTAGGATAGCTATACCAGCTTGTTTCTTAGGTCCATTTAATTAGAATTTTCCCCCAACCCTTTATTATGAGGTGATGCTTATCTTTGACATTGAGAAAGAAAATAGATCTATATCTATTGCCATGCACAAAACTCAAATGGGTCAAAGACCATAACATAAATCCAACCACACTGAACCTCAAAGAAGAGAAAGTGGGAAGTACACTTGAACGCAATTGCACAGGAGACCACTTCCTAAATATAATGCCAGTAGTACAGATTCTGAAAGAAACAATTAGTAAATGGGACCTCCTGAAACTGAAAAGCTTCTGTAAAGCAAAGGACACAGTCAACAAGACAAAATGGACTCTTACACAATTAGAAAAAAATCTTCATGAACCCCACATCAGACAGAGGTCTGATCTCCAAAATATACAAGGAACTCAAGAAATTGATCATCAAAAAAAAGACCAAATAATTTTTTTTAAAAAAAGGAGTATAGACCTAAATAGAGAACTCTCAACAGAAGAATCTAAAATGACTGAAAGACACTTAAGGAAATGCTCAATATCCTTAACCATCAGAGAAATGCAAATCAAAACAACTCTGAAATTTCATCTCACACCTGTAAGAAAACAACCTATACTGGAGGGGAAAAATACTTGTTTGATGATGATTACAATTAGAGTATATTTTAACATTCGATATTTGCTGATGAACCTAACTGTTCTCAAACTGAAAGAACATGAATTTTTATGGTTTGCATATCTAAGACAGAAATTTTTGATTGGCAATTTGACATATATAGAGACAAGGGGATACCATGAACCAATGTGCTCATAAAGATAATGAAAGCAAAATTGCTTAGAGTTCTGTAGGTCATCTGAAGAAACTTTTCTCCGTTGCTGAAAAGCCACACAAGTAGTTATTCCTATCTTTTTTACCTTCCAATGTACTGTTACTTTTCTCTAGATATTGTTACTAATGTCTCTGTCATTCAAGTTACCAATGATTTCATTGCTACCAAAACATTGACCTCTTCTCACTTTTATTGCTAACTATGCCTGACATGAGCCATGGCTTGCAATTTATCACACAATTCTAATTGCCTTTTCCTCTTCTGTTGTAACGAAGCTGCTTGTTTGTTTCCTGGCCACCTGGGAGCTCAAAATAATCATACAGAAACTGTATTATTTAAATCACTACTTGGCCCATTAGCTCTAGCTTCTAATTGGCTAACTTTTACATATTAATTTAGCCTATTTCTATTAATCTATGTATTGCCACGAGGCTGTGGCTCACCAGGTAAAGTTCCGGTGTCAGTCTCCAGCACATGGTTCACAACAAATTGGTGTCCACTTAGCCAACTAAAATCCACTTAAAACATAAGAGAGCTTGGAGAGAGACTATAGATACAAAATAACAGCGTTAAGCGTGGCTTCTTGGTAGCAGCAATTCCTCCGATTTGCTAACTTTGCTAGAGGCAGGTGCATCTCATTCAAGAGAGGCTTCCTGACTCAGCCTTTGCTGAACCTTTGCAGCTCTTTTAAGAGGCCCTGCCACCAAACACTTAAATGGTGTTTATGAATAGCCTACAGCATGCTTCTTGGTGACAGCATGGATCTTGAAACTCCAGAGTTGTGACAATAAACATGGCTCTAGCCAGTACCTTAGCCATGAGGCTAGACTCTCAGAAAGCTAAGGAATGGGCTGGATCCAACTGTCAAAGCCATGGCTTTAATCCTAGCCATATTAAATAGTTTCAGACAAAAAAAAAAAAAAAACGCTCTAAACATTTTGTGGTGTGTTTAAAATATTTGTAGGTTTGGGAGAGAAAATAAAAATGATAAAGTCCTTAAAATAAAAAAAATGAGAGTAGTTGTGACAAAAATTAAAAATAAAAAAAATAAAAGGAAAGAGTTTAAAATAAAGCCATGTAAAGAGGGAAAATGCACAGAGAGTCTGGAGACTGTATATTATTGTGTTATCTTTAATTTGTATGACTGCTGAGGAAGGAGCAACAGCTGCTAAAAGACTTTTGATTATTAATGCTGCTGAATTAATCTAACATATATATTTTAAAAATGACTTGACTTCAAAATTTAAGTCAAAAGATATGTTACTTTGGAGAAAAGGTTTTACTTTTGTTTCCATAGAAAATAAGAGGCTGTGGATTTATTCTGGGCTAATAAAAATCAGGTTTTATCAAGGAAGACCCCCCAAAGAATCTCCAGTAGGAGCAGATGGTCCAGATGATCCAACATTTCAGAGGACTTCTGTTGGAGTTTCCTCTGAGTTCTGCATCCAGAACAGTTTCAAGACTGCTGCCTGAGATGATCAAGCCTCAGTAAACTCAAGTTAGGACTTGATCATAATTATAAATTTTCTTTAGGTCCCCATAAGATTATCAGTGCCCCAAATCAGCAGGAAGTAGCATAGAAAACTACACCCACCTTACCAAAAATGGACTATGTATATTTTTCATTGTTTAGAGCATTGGTTACAAGTCATTATGGACAATGGTCAGGAAGAAAACTAAACAAGGGAGATTAGATTCATAATTCTTGTTTAAAAAGGGGGACAGAAAGTGCCATGGGACAATGGTTTGTAGCCTGTCAATTGCATTTTAATAAAATGCTGATTGGAAGTATAGGTGGAGCAATGAGAATAGGAGAATTCGGGGAAGAGGAAAAGTCAGTCTGCAGTCACCCAGACAAAAAGAAAGCCAGACACAGAACAAACAAGATGTGATTGTCTCCCCAGAAAAGGTACAAAGCCACATGGCTAACACAGATAAGAATTGTGGGTTAATGTAAGTTATGAGTTAATAAGAAGCCTGAGCAAATAGGCCAATCAGTTTACAGTTAATGTAGGCCTCTGTGTGTTTATTTGAAACTAAACGGATATGGGACCTGGTTGGGCAAAAACTTCTGTCAACTGGTTCTCCCGTCTGTTTTTGTTGTATCTGCTGTCTCATTTTTGCTTCTGTTGTCAAAAAAGCTGATTTCTGCAAATTTATGTTTCATTTTTTTTAATCTTGTCTCCAACAATGCTTGAAAAAGTTAAAAAATGTTATTTGCTACTCTTAGTTCAAATAAAATTTTTGTTAAGATTGGCAATTTTCCTCATTTGTTTGTTTGAATATCCTATTTCCTAATCTATGCATTAAAAATTTCTTTCAGTTTTTAATTTATATATAACTTTATAGCTAAATGCTGTTTTTCAAAACTAGGCATAGTGTTGCATGTCTGTAATCCTAGCAATTGAGAGGGTAAAGTAAAATGTTCAAGATATGAACTATGCCACAAGTTTTAAACCAGCCTGGGTTTACAAGGAAATACGGCATTAAAGAAAAAAACAGATATAGATGTAGATGTGAATTTATCTCCAAATCAGTTTGCATGATGTTATGCCTCAAGAAGAATGTATAATAGAAGTGTGATATTAGACAACTTGTCTTCCAGGTGGTTTAGAATCTTTGAAATCCCTTCAGCAACTAACTATGGACCATAATCAGTTAATCAGCACTAAAGGTCTTTGTGAAGCACCAACCATCGTATACTTGGATTGTTCACATAATCATCTTACTGATGTTGATGGCATCGGACCTTGTGGATTGCTACAAATAGTAAAGCTGCAGGGAAATTACCTAAGAGAGGTACATTAAATAAGGAATTAATATCCATAACCAATGCGATGTCCTTCTTTTAATTAAAATATCTACTCTATATTTTGAAGCAATTTAAATATTTTTTCTCTATTTTTAATTAACAACTGTATATTATTTACAAGTTACCTTTTTTTCTTTTTTGTTTTGTTAGAATATATTAATTACACATAATAATGATTTTCATTATGGCATTTCCATACAGGAGCACAATATAGTTTGACCATATTCAAAAAACACATTACTCTCTCGTCCACTTCCAATACCAGTTATTTCCCTTTTGAACTTGTTGCCCTCTTATATCATTTATTTTGTATGTGGGGAGGGAGAGATGGAGAGGGGGAAAAAGAGAAAAGAGAAAGAAACTCAATGAGTTTCATTCATGCTATGTACAGGAGTACAGCTAGGTTTTTTTTTTCAGGAACATTTAAACACTATTACTAACTGCATAGAAATCTTCAGAGAAGGGTAGGGCTTTACGGGGGCATTTAGCATTCTATCGTTAGGTGTTGTCAAGTCTAACTTAGAGGAGATCTTTTGCAGGTCCACAGAACTGCTGTTCATTCAAGAATGTAATAGCCATGTTGTGCCCTGAAGACAGTGCTCCAAATGGTCCACCTCATTCCCTCCAGTCCCAACATTCTTTGACTTCTTCTTAAATGTTATATGAGCCTTGGAAGAGCTTACAGATGGGAATTCATCACCAGTTTATTCTCTCTACTTCGATCAGTTGAGTACATACAGTCAGCACTGTAAAACCAAATATCTCTGAAGCTGACTGCAGTAATATTTGATAATTATCTTAGTTATGGAGATGTCATTTTTGAAAGGCACATCACATTTAGTTAACAAAATACCATCGTTATCTTCTGTAGATGGAAGTTTATGTACCACCCAGTCTCACAGCTGTTCCATCCTGAACAAATATACGGGCTTCTTGGGGAGAATTGTCATCAATGTTCATATTCATTTGTGCACCTGTATGTAGTACTTTTCACAAGACAAGTGATATGAACTTAGAAGTTCAACAATGGCAAATCTGTTACTGGAGTAAACAACTGCTCTGATTGAATTTATTGCTTCCTCTACAGGAGAAAATTCCTGCCTGGTACAGTAAACATGGTATAAACTCCTTCGATGGGAAGTTTAGGAGCCTGTGCAGTATTTTATTACAGTCTGAAGGCTAGACAGCAACAAAGGGTTCAGCCCAGTTCCAGTTTTATTTCTTTATGTCATGCAACCAATGCAGATGGAGTCTTCATCAAATAAGATCTTAACCATCTAGTTCTGGTATTTAACCAAGACCAGTGGCAATTGCCCATATATTTTATGGGCCAACATGGAGATGGGAGCATTCTTGGAACTAGGATTTTCATTTAATAACACTTAGCTTCTGGGAGCAACTTCATCTACCTAAAAAGGATACCATCAATAAGAGCTCATTTTTAATTATATTTCCTTATGATATTTTCCTACAACTTTACTTTCATCTGCAAATGCAGTCCTGTGATCCGTTTCCTTGCCTCTGTCCTGCTTCCCAACATCTGGCCTTTCATACTTGTTTTCTTATATTCTACTACCTCTCTTAAATATCTTTCCTGCACATTGGCCTCTTTTCATTATTTTATATTTTTATCCACTTAGGAAAAAAACAATTTCTTATGGTGTCTAATATGTATAGTTTAAGGTAAGATTCTCAAAAAACTAAACTATAGCATATCATAATATTTCAATCTCACTTAGGTACATAAGTTGGAACACATTTATCTACTCTCGAGATTAAATTGCATTTTGTCATAAAACTTCTTGTAAAGAACATTAGAAATAATAAAATTAGTAGGCATTTTATACATACTGAAAGACTCATAATAATATGCTTTGAGATATTATTGCTTATCAGAATGTATATCTCATAAGCTTTGGTAGAATCTATACTTTTAAATTTGCTTAGAAAATATTTTGCCTGTTATCAAGTAATAAAATATGTTTAATTGCAGCCTCCATCCTTAAAAAATCATGTTCTGCTTAGAGAATTGCATTTGGATGACAACAGCATCTTTAATGCGGAAGTACTTTCTTCATGTTGGCTGCCTCTACTTCAAGATCTTAGCATCTCTCAAAACAGGTAAAGATATATTTTATTTTAGGAATAGTTATTTAAAATTGCTGTATGATGTACATAAACTAGAAAACTTGTGATTCCTGAAATTAAATCAGGATGCATCAAAAATAAATCAGTACACAAGATACAGATATAACTATCTAGAGGTTTAAAAACTGAAGTGTCTGAGTTACCTGACGCATTCAGTAAAATTTTTAAGTTTATTCTACTTATTTTGTTTTCATTCAAAAATGTACTTGTAGAAACATCTCAGGGCAGTCTTGTTTATGTTTATAAAGAATTAGTCTTCAAAAAATATAACATATAGGCAATTTAATACAGAGGGATGCCTCACTCTCTCAAATGTTATTTATTAAGTCATAAAACAATGTTTTTTAAATCTTCTCTCAATTTGCTTGTCTTTTGTAATTGTTAAAATGGATTTAAATTTGAATTCAACAGGGATGTAAAGGAGTAACACTTAATATGTCTTAACATTAATATAAACTGAGTGCCTGCATCTATAAGCACATTAGAGACCATCAAATACCTAGGTCATTGGACTGAATTATTGTATAAAGTCAAAATATCACAATAATGTGTGTCATTCTTTCTCTCTGTGCTTAATGTTTTATTGAAAGATGTTCAATCTAACATGATTAATTTATTAACCACAGATGTGGAGAAAGATGGTTGAGCTACCTATAACAAGAAATTAAATTTTTTGAGTTACAAGATGTTTACAAGACCAGTGAGAAAGGACAACTGTGTGCTTGCTGATAAACCATAAATAATGTCTCTCAGTCTTTGCCAAGGAGTGTTCATATTTTGAACATGTGTGTATCAAATGATTTAACCCAGAGATATTAATCTTTGAAAATAAAAAACCTAAATATACATTTTAAAGTCACATTAGATTGTTGTAATCATATCTAAATTATGAAATCTGACTTGCATTTAACAAAACATTGTTTCAATTGAAGTAAGCTCCTTCAAGTGAAACCACATAAGTACTTTGGGTCTATGGATGCATAGGATCTTTTTATAAAAATATAATCAAAAATGAAGTGATCAGTTATGACTTGGACACTTGTAGTAAACAATGCACAAATGGGCACAATACACATATTTGAGAGAAGTAGTTTTCAAACCATATTTCTAACACTAGAAAATATTTATATTAAGAAAATTATAAAAGAAAAATGCCCTTAGTTATTTGACTGTTTATAATTTAAGCCTACAATGAAATATTCTTTCTGTCAAAGTTAAAATATCACAGGTAATGATGAGCTTTGGCTTCTCTGATGATATTCCCCTATCAAGGAATTATTCATCTACACCAGTCAGTTCTTGAATTTAATAATGATCATTGGAATAATTACTCCCAATTTGTAATATTTGTAATTTTTTTACTTAGATAAAACATTTGTACACTAAGGTGGGGCTTGTTATTTTGAGAGCTATAACATTGAGACACATATATTATAACCTTTATAAACTTCTTGGAAAAGAAAAATTAAACTTGAATCATGTCTGTACAAAATGTCATTCAGACTAAAAAAGACAAGCATCATTTGTAATTTTATAAAAAAAAACATAATGCATGTATATACAGCATAAGAGTAGAGAAAAAAGGTTCAAGGATGAAGGGGGCAGGTAAGTATGTGGAAATATGTGAGCAACACAGTCAATGTACATTATATACTGATAAAAAGGAATATACAGTTATTAAATATATATATTTATATACATATAATTATCATTACATACAACATATAGAATTTTATAATACTAGCACATATTTAAGCATATTTTTATACTATCAAATCCTTTGCATATATCAGCACATGCTGTTAGTAAAGCAGGAGACCTGAAGGCACATGAGGAAAGGAAATTATTTCCTAATGGCTTCATAATCTCAGGACTTAGTCTTTTCTCAGCAGATTTATTTCCTTAGCAATGACGCATGTCACAGTGTTCTGTCTGTGCAGTGTGTGCAGAGCCACATAGCGGGTGTTAAAAACTCAGATAGACCAATTCAGGTTTGTGGTTTGAATCTGTGACATCCCAGTCAGTTTGCCTGAAGCAGATCTCTGCATTGTCTAAGACTTAACTTCTCCCCAAGTGTCAAAGCGCTGCTGTTGCCTACCTTCGGCTACCAAGTTCAAGTATCATCCACATAGGGAGTGAATGTGAGTCCAATAAATTTAAAATGGAGACATTTAAGATGCGGTTGTATAGACATCGTTGGGATGTCTAATTAGGATACTCTTACATGGTTTATATTTTCTTTGACTTTTGGTAACTATTTCCATCACAAGGAAGAGATTATACATCCACATACCTTCTTTCTGCGCAAATGGAACACATAGAAAGAACAGTATTTAGTGAATATTGTTTGGAATACTTGTTTCATCCAGTCTTCTGTTTTAAATTTTCATTAGGCCATGTGACTGGTTTAAGTTTGACTCGGAGGAGCTCTAACTAGAAGGCTCTCTGGCTAGATAAACTGTCCCACTTCCAGTCAGACCCTAAGTGGGGCCAGAGTTGAAACTTACCCATTGGGTGCTCATTGTACAAATCTTTGCTTTTTTGTCTTCTTTGAAAGTTATATCATTTAATGCCCAGGGCTAATGTGACAAGGTCAAGTCGTATTAGGTTTTCACTAATGTCCCTTTGTCTTTCTGGTTTGAATTTTCTTGAAAAAAATACTCATGAAATGTCAGTAAAGGGAAAAACCTATTAATGCATGAGTAAAAGGAATCTATGATTAGATTTCCACCATCACAATGGGTAGTCATACAGACACATGAATAGCTACGTTCCTTGATTAAGATAAAAAAAAACAATTCACAAATCCTGGTTTTAAAAGAATAAGTATGTGAATAGATAAAAATGCACATCACAGAGATATTTTACCACAGCAGAAATTTAATTGTTTAAAGTGATTTTTTTAAAGTCATACTGTTTTTAAATTCTAGATTAACATTGCTTATTTTCTCTTGGTATGTTTAAGTATGGGTCACCATGTAGCCTTGAGAAGTACAGAAAATGTTATGAAGAAAAGAAAGTAACTGCATTATGAAGAGTGAACTCATTTACTTGCTATTGAATTTTAGCAGAAAGACAAAGATTTAATACTAAAATGTAGAAAAACTACAAACATAATTTTGGTTAAGTATTTTTATGCTATCACTTGAAGAATCAAAATTTTATATCTGTAAAATTATCAGGAACAAGTTCAGGATGGAAGCACTATAAGATGAAGTCTTACATAAAATAATTAAGTATCTATCCACAATGCTTTAATTTTGTCCATCTTCCTCTTCCTCTCCTTCACCCATCCCCGGCTTCCCTGCCTTTTACTTGTTTATCCTCTTTTTTTTTTTCCTTTGTTTCCTGTTACATTCATGTGACATTTAAGTCCATTTTATTCTTAGGTTGTACAAAGAAGGATTTGTAGTTCCATTTTTTTCATATTTTCTTTAAGTATTTTTGTTCTACACCCTGTCACCCATGAGACTCTTTCAAAGGAGTGGCAGTGTACAGGATTGGAATGAATGGTTATATTGTGCTTAGGAGTGACGACAGTGGACGGCATTTTCCTCCAGCCTCGTTATTTCGTCTAGGTTTCATCAGTAGTATCTTCTTTCCTTCTCCTAATGCAGAACAGGGTAGTACAAGGGAGGAGTCAAGGTGCACACAAGGGTTAGTCTGTGCCAGACACCGTGAGGCTTTTAGCCACAGTGCTGCTGTGTGACCTCTGACCTTTGAATAATAGTTATAATAGGTTTAGACACATACACACACGCAAAAGAGAGGAAGAAAGAAAGATAAAATTAATTTGAATTTCTCAGCATTTATTTGAATATATATTCAATATGTCATATGTTAAGTATCATTATTTCTTGCTTGAAAGTAAGTTCATATTTCTAACTGTGAATGAAGCACAATACAACGTTAGGTATTTCTATTGATAGTAACTCACTTTAGTCTAAAATATTTTTAAAGCAATAATAATCAGTTATATTATTAAAAGTGATTTGTTTAAAAAATTGTGTATGCATGCACACACATATATAATTATAACCTGTTGAGGTGGTTTTTGTTGTTTATATGTAGTATATTGTATACTAAAACTCTGCATTGGACAATGATTAAGGGGACTAAAGCCTGGGAGAGACTAAATCTTCTTCCAGCACTCCTTAGTTCCTCTAGATTTTGTCTGGGAATGGAGCCCTGTAAAACTTTCTCTTCCATGTTAAAACATTCACTGATACTGCCAGTAGTCCAAACTTGTTAGTGGAACTATTAGTAGGAAAAACTTTCATAGTCGATTCTGCCTCTTATATTCTTTCTGAACCCTTTGAGAATGTCCTCTGAGCCATAGATTCTGTAGAGGTGGTATCGATGTATTCCTTAGAGCTGGGCTCCTCACGATTTATTATTTATCATTGCGCTGTGACCAGTGTGGTACACACACACACACACACACACACACACGCACCCCCGAATATTTGTGTGTAACAATAATAAGCAAAGAAAAATAGGCTGTCAACTAGGAGGGGACAATGTAGAGGTTTGAGCTAGTGTAGCAGGGAAGGCCTGAAATAATGAAATGTGGGGGGAAGCAGGAAGGATGACATTTTATTTACATATAAAATAATCATAGGAACCCCCCAAAACCAAGTTTGTACCTAAAAGATGTAGGCCATGTGCTTAAACTAAAAGAGGAAAAACAAATCATGTAATTTCTGTACAACTAGCTTTATAAATATATTAAGCAAAATAATAACCAGATAACTACCCGTTTTAAACTGGATCACAAATATACATCTAAGCCCATGGTATTTGTGGCTGAAATTAGCAATTCCATGGTAGTTTCTTTCTTAAATGAATCAAAATCTGCCATTATTGTAATGTTCCACGGTAAATTCTCTTTTAAAATGAACTTCGATTTTCCATAATAGGATTACTTGCATTCTTAATAAATACTGTTACTCAATGTTTTAATTTTACTGCATTGTATTGTACAATTATAGATAATTGTATATAATTTCTTATAATTATATAATTGCATTAGATAAATGAGTTGTACTTCAAACAAAATAACAAGAATATGCTTGTTAATTTTTTTAATCATGGTAATATTTTGCTTTCAGTTTAACAACAATTGTGCCACTTTTTCATTTTGTGTCTTTGGAAAAGCTGGATGTCAGCAACAATTGCCTTTCTGGTAAGGTTGGGATTCTATTTCTTTGTTTCTGTTAAATTATAGGCTTTTCATTTCTGTTTCAAATAAAGTGAAGAGTTCTTCTGAATACATATGCATTTATATACATGAATATGAGCAAAAAGTTTGCTGCTAGCTCTTTTATTCCTGCCTGTTTACCCATTAAAAGTTCATTAAAGCATTATGAATTGAATGAATCCCCCTAAATGTTTTCCCCACTTACTCTTCCAGTCAGCCTTTTCCAAACAGCAGCCACAGTCTTTTTTTTCCCACCAAAAGCTATAATAACAATATATATGCTCCTGGACTTTAGTTGGATCTCTGAGATGATTGACAAGGTTTCATTATGTTGGGTGCAAAATTCTTACGTCATTTATAAAACTGTTACATAAGTCTTAGCATCAGGTTTATTAGACCTTCCCCCAAACACTGGATACCTGTGCTATTTTGAATCTTTTCATCCTGCATCATATCCAACACTCTGTCAAGGCCATGCAATGACTTCTCAAAATACGTCTCCAACATTCCTGAATTTTCTTCTCTATATGTTTCCCCAGATATTCTAGCCTCATTTCTAACAGTTTACACTTTAATTCAGCCAAGTAGAATATTGCACTGTCCTTCCAGAGGAACCAGTGTTCTAACATAAAATTATTGAGATCATAGAAAAACTAAAAGGACATATTGTATGTTTCCTTTCCATCAGATCCTGACTTAACATACATATGTCATGTCTGTGAGTCTTTGTATGTGCCCACAAGTGTGCGTGTATAGTCAGTGTTAGTCTTCCGGGTGAAATCAAGTCTCTACACATTGCTCTGTAGAGCAGTCTAGATTCACCTATAACCTTTATTTTTAAAAGTGTAGAAGGTATATGTGATTGTGTCTGTTGATATACTTATAAACTTTAGCACGTTGTATTACTTTATATTCAGCGCTGTAATTTTTGTTCTAGGTATAGTAGAGCATTAAGTGCATTATCTCATCTAGTTCTCACACAGCAACAGAGTCGAAAACTGGATTTTAGAAATGAGTTGTCTGAGTTCGTATAGTTGCTAAGTGGTGGAAACATAATTTTATACTAGTCTATGTTCTACTCAGTACCCCCTCTTTTCTGAAAGCTTGGGGTATTCAATGGGAAACATTAAGTATCATTTTAATTGGGAAATTGGTGATTTATTTATGCCCAATTATGTTAAAATTATCTATGTAATTTTGCTAATTTTCTTTCGTCCTTCCTTCCTTCCTTCCTTCCTTCCTTCCTTCCTTCCTTCCTTCCTTCCTTTCTTTCTTTCTTTCTTTCTTTAGATCTTACAAGTGTCATGTCTTGGTTCAACGCATGCTACTCTCTCCGTGAGCTTTGTCTTACTGGAAACCCAGTCCTTCAGGAAACAAACTGGAGGTAAGGAAACAATTTTAACCAATGACTATCCTATTTATCATTTCTTAGGGCAAAATATGATACCAATTTTCCTTGAAAAGTTATTAAAGTTACCTGAATAGCTTAATTTATCATTGTTCATTATAAAATATCATTATCCTAAAATATTTTCTCACATATAGATGAGTTAATGCAAATTTGAAAGTATGATTTTGACGCCAGTAGTTGATGAAAAGTCCAGTTATCTTTGAATTAACTTGGATTTTGCTTTGCTAGAGAACAAACATTTTCCACCAACATCTTGTGAGTCCATGTCTAACTTACTATTTCAATTATTTCTTTCTGAAAGCTGGGCTGATAAAGTAAAACTTATGTATTTCTTACTGAAAAACTGAGCCTGTCAAATTTCAGTTAGATCAATTGTTCTAATATACATTCCATTATCTAAAAGAAGAGATTCATTTATCTAGAGGGTTTAAAATCAAGAAGTCTATAAAATATGGATTTGTTAATGAAAGGACTCAGGCATCTTGGATACAGTTTGTTTCAGTGAACTTTACATAACCTCATGGTACCAACAAAGGGATTAGTTATAGATTTTCCCAATTGGTTTCTTACTTTCATGTCAAGCCAGTGATAACATGCAAAAAAAAACTGATGTACTGAAAAAAGAAAAAGAAAAAACCTCTTTTAAAACATAATCCAGAGGCAACATTTGAAATCTCCTTTGAGAATTTGTTTCATTGACTGATGATTAATGGCGCTTGGTAAGTGGCAGAATATGCACCAGGAAGTTTTCACTAAATGAAATATTGATTTGGCCCTCGAGTAGGAGGAGCCCAGCTGGAAAAACTAATCTTGAAATCTCACAGTGTTCTTCTACTTCATTCCTTACATTAATCAGTTTTCTCATATATTCCCCACAAGCTCACGTGGCTGACTGCTGAACTTAGGGACAATCCACACACTGTTGTCTTTTGCAGGTCTCAGGACTGCTCCCTTCAAAAATTAAGGGAAAAAAAAAACTCTTTTTCAAATAAGTAAATCCATTATGAATCTTGAATATATGTCCCAGAGACTTTAACATATTGTTTCTATCTTAAACTTCCATGCGAATTTTTACATCGTAAAGAATTTCAAAATATTCTGATTAAAATGAACTGCTTGGGAACTTTTGTGTGTAGAAGTGAGAAAGACAGAATCAAAATATGCCTAACGTAGAACTTCAAGCTCAGTCTTAACCGAAAATATACTCCCTAACAAAAATACTTTACATAATACTATTCATGTCATTGCTCGATGTAAAGTCTTGATAATAGAAATACTGTTTTGTCCCTTTCTTATCTAGTACTTTCCACATGAACAGCTGCCAAATAGTGACGACTGCAATATTTTGAAATACATCTGATATTTAGGGTTGTCCTTAAAACTACTTGATTTTTCTTTGTAAAAAGCATGTTCTTTGAGAATCTGTATTATATTTGCCCCCTTTGCCTCCCAGAATGCAACCACACCTTCCTACCCACCTATCTTAGTACTCTACCTCCTGCTTCTCCTCTCCTCTCTGTCCTCCCTCTCCTTCCCCTTCTTCTACTCTTCTTCTTCCTCCTTCTCAGTGTATGTATGTGTTTGTGTGCTGCATACCTCCTCTTGAGTACAGGGCCTGCTCCATTGTATGACTGACTTACCATGGGCCATACCATTAGAAAATACTGTCTCTCAATAACTATCAGGTGCTTAGAGCTTCTTGGCTGGGGTGGGATTTTCTGCCCTACCCTCCACCCACCATTCAGGGGTACTATCTGGTTTCGGCTTATGCATGCTTTGTGCACACTGTCATAATCTTTGTGAGTTCCCGCGTGCAGCTCACCTGTTGTGTCCAGCAAATACCTTCCTGGTAGGCACCCTCCAATTCTTGCTCTTCCAGTCCACCGACACCCTCTTCCTAAAAGAGTCCTGTACCTTTTCCAGAGGGGATCCGCCCTATATTAATGTCTTGATAAGAATTCCAAGCTTTAGTAATTTGCGAATGTAGAGTTGGTAAAGCAGTAATTTTCTAACATTTATTTGATCATATTTTTTCATTAGCAAAACTAAATTTTTATCATGATACGTTAATGTCATTAAATAATAGAGCCATACATCTAATTAGTTTATATGTTTGTAGTCTTCTTTCAATACCTTACATGTACTAGGTACCTTTTTTAAAAGATTTTATCATGAACCTTTTATTGCATATGTATTGTTTTTCTCTTTATTGAAAATGGATTCTTTTCTTATATAAAGTATATCTTGATTACAGTTTCCCCTCCCTCTGCTCCTCTCACGTCCTCCCCAACTCCTGTCCCATCCCAATCTATTCCCTTTCTACCAGTCATTGGAAAAGAATAGTTATTTATTTTAAAAATGTTCATTTTTAAGAATTTTCTATATAAGTGCTATATTTCGGAACTACTGACCCATACTCTCCTCCCTCCAAATTCTCCCATTCCCCATCACTCCTCAACTTAATGAACTCTTCCTTTTATGTATATTTAAATATATCCTTGTAAATATGTATATGTAAAAATTTAAATCTATACCCCCCACATATATCTATATATTTAAAATGACTGAGTCCATTTAGTATTCCTCATATGTGCATCTACATATGTTTAGAATGATCACTTTTGAATTAGATAATCTAAAGAAGATTGACTCTCCTTCTTTCAGCAACCGTTAGTTGTCTAAATCTTTACATTAGTGGGGTCTTATGAGATTTCCCAATTCACAGTGTGATCTGATTATACAGGTCTTATTTATCTGTCATGTTTTTATTTTACTTTATGTTTTGGCTTCTATTTTTAAAGTTAAAATATCGATAACTTTAGCATTGTTTAGTAGTTAAGTTTCTTCTCAGTACATACTTTTGTTTTAAAGAAATACAATATTTGATTATTTTTTTAAAGGAACAGTATTTGTGCAGATACCCAACCCACAATTTAACAGCTAAAGTTTTGATATCACCAGGCATTGTGTTTTCAATGCATTCCAAATACTACTGATAGAATGATTCAAGGTCAGTTCTTATGGAGCCATTTCAGAATAGCAAATAGGGATGTTACCTCAATTTCTGCCTTGGGGAGAATGTCTGAGTCAAAGAACTAATATGTTAGATTTTATGGCTATTATAATACCAGTCCAAGTATTATTTTCTTTTGTTATTTTTTCCTCATTTGGCCAGAATGAGACCTGAGAGATGGCTGCTCAAAAAAGCCTTTTAAGGTTTTTCAATTGGTCCAATCAAATTGAATCTAGCCTAATTTCTTTCTGGTGAAAGCTCTGTTCAATAACTTGTATTATTTTGTTCAATGAAAATTTTTATATTCTAAAATGAATAAACTTTTTAAACCATGTCCTAAGTTATAAGGTATAATAGAAAAATTGAGTTACTTTTTCTTATTATATATATATATGTGTGTGTGTATACACATATATAATGTGTATATGTATAATATATGTATAATATATGCATGCATATACATACATAGCTTCCCAAAACAACAATAGAAATCCATGACACACTTCATTCCTTCATCTACTCTAGTCCATTTTGAAGAGTAAGATATCACACAGGAATAGACTTGGTTCTAAAACCAATTAGAACAAATCATTGGTTGTTTTCTCGGAACATCTCCACCCAGCTCCTGAGGTTTAAAGTTGTTAACCCCCAATTTAAGAGCAGTCTATAAACCAATAGTACTAGTCATAGAATTAGAGCATTTTCTCTTCTATGCTGGATGATACAGGTTTATTTTTTGTTGCCTTTAATTCTATATACATACCTTAGATTTATAATTGCAATTAAATGTTACTTTGGTATTGTCATGGCTTGTGGGAATCTCAACTACGTGCTTCTCTGAAGCCTGAGCAATATGACATTTCATTAGTCATAAATAAAATATTTGCGAGGAAAGAATGTTAGCCACATTGATAACTCCCTTGTGTTTTGATTATTATCAGTTTTAAATTCAAATTTATAATCATATTATAAAAATGCAAGTAAATAAAGGTACCACACACCATAATTAACCAGAACAAAAGTCTTTACAACCCAGTAAACTTCTACATAGTTAGAATAGGCATTTGGAACAGAAGCTGTGGGGCTCCACATTGACTTTCATACTTTCAGTATAAAATATAAACAAGACTATATGTGTTGTAGGGAGAGGGCCCCTTGTTCGTCCTGGCTGCCCAGCTAGCTTACACCTGAAACAACCACATAGAAACTGTATTAATTAAAACACTGCTTGCCCAATTAGCTCTAATTTCTTATCGGCTAATTCATACATATTAGGTTAACTCATCTCCATTAATCTGTGTATCGCCACATGGCAGTGGCTTACCAGAGATTCTAACCAGCATCCATCTCAGGCAGTGGATCCATGGCTTCTCCCACTCTGCCCTTCTTCCTCCCAGCATTCAGTTCTGTTTTTCTCCGCCTACCTAAGTTCTGCCCTATCAACTAGGCCAAGACATCTTCATTCATTAACTAATGAAAGCAAAACACAAACAGAAGGAACTCCTATACCATATATGTATAGATTTTAAAAAACTGTACCTTGTGGATATAGTCTAAGATATAGAAAAGAAAACAAATATATCTAAGGGGATGAAGAGGGAATGCTTGCAGGTCATGCATAAGCTAAAACATTATTTTCCTAGTTCTCAGTCTCCCATGGCTTTCTCTTTTGGTTGATAGATAAATGCATAAGGAATATTCAGTCGCAGCTTTATTTAAGAGAGTAAGCTTTCTTCGATTTGTTGATGACCTAATCAAATATTTATGATTTTAATATTTTATTTTAATAGTTGTGAATTTTAATTAGTGCTATGATTGTTGGTATTGAAACACTGCATCCTTTAATTTAAGACAAATAAATATAGCATCTTTAAAGTAATGCAAGAAGAAATAGAATATATCATTTACTTACGCACTTGTGGTAAATATAATTTATTAACAATTTTAAGTGCGATAAAAATAAGTTTAGAATGTGTATACCTAAAAATTCTTGCCGGGCAGTGGTGGTGCACACCTTTAATCCCAGCACTCGGGAGGCAGAGGCAGGCGGATCTCTGTGAGTTCGAGGCCAGCCTGGTCTACAAGAGCTAGTTCCAGGATGGGCACCAAAGCTACAGAGAAACCGTGTCTCGAAAAAAACAAAAAATAAAAATAAAAAATAAAAAAATTCTTGTTATGTGATATTTTGTGGCTATTTTAAAACATATGTCTTTATTAAGATTATTAACTTCTTCTTTGTTTCTAATAGGCATTCTATACTTAAAATATTACCAGCTCTGAGAATCCTTAATGGTGACATATTAAACCCTCAGTCTGATGTCCATATTGAGGAACACTATTATCAAGACCTAGGAGGTTTCTTGGCACTTTGTCAGAACCAACTTGAAGAGTTCGACTTACTAACTAAAAAGTATATCACACAGAAAGGGTAAGTTTCTGATTTTCTTCCTGCCTTATTTTAAATAAATAATTTTAATGTAAACACATGATTAAATATGTTATGATAACCACAGTGACACTAGTTTGATTAGAAGCAGTTTTTCTGGGGCATTTTATTCCTTTACTATTATCTAATAGCCCGAAATTTGTTCTTCTCTTCTATGTGTTCAGGGACGTTCTCACTTTGCATGCTGCGGACAAACTCTGCCACTACCATAAGAACTTAATGAAACTCAGTAATGAATGCCGACGTGCACATGAACATGGGGATGTAAATATCACCAAGAGTCCTGAATCAGAAACTGAAAAAAAACATCCAGTTCTTTCAAACACCAACAGCACACTGCAAATCAAGGTCTTTCATTCTCAGACTGACAAGTATAAGGCAGATTTCCCAGATAATGCTGAAAACCTGATGGATGCTGGCTCCAGACCTTCACCAGCAAACTGTGAGGAACCAGTAGGAAGAGGTCAGGAGCAAAATATGACAGAGAAGAATGAACACAGCAGGATGCGTAGTCCATCCCCTGCAAGAGCCTCGTTCATAGAAATAAAGGTGGCAAATTTTCCAATGAGTAATCATCAAAATAGTGAACACAGTGAAACAAGGTAAGGTTTTTTTGTTTTTTTTTTTTTTTTCTTTTTTTTGTCGATGTTATAGTTACTGTTTGCATGTGTGTCTTAGAAGAGACTTTGGATTTTGAATAGTATTGAGATTGAATGATTATGAGGACTTTGACATCAGAATAAATACATTTTCATTATAATACGGTCTATAGGGTTAGGGAAATGGGATATGGTGGTTTCAATGAAATAACCCTGTTTCAGGCCCTTAAATACTTACTGGCTTTCCAGTTGGTGTTGCCTTTGGGTATTTTTACCCAAAGGTTGGGATAGATCCTTGGCCCCTGAGATGACTTTGTTCAAGCTTTACAATCCACCAAAACAAACAAACTTATCAAAAGCTTGCTCAAGGGAATTTTGAGGAATGGAATTTGTTTTCCAAATACCTTTTAAGTCACACCCAGAAATTCTACAAGGAATTAAGGTAGAATAGGTAGCACTTTGATTACCCTTCATACCTTCATAATTCTTCAATAATCTGCAGGAGAAAGGAAACAAATTGCAACTCAGAGAGCCGCTTGTTATTGACAAATTGCTATTGACTCCATGTCATGTTAGAATTTCCTCAAGGGTGTATAGGTGAATATTTTCAAGTGGTCAAGAAGTAAAGAAAAACTACTAAAAACTGCCCAGCGTCCTTCCTTTTCCCATGAATCATGTTAAGAATGACTCTCCCTCTTCCTCCCTGAAGCAACCCAGAGTGATCCTTATTGTTCCATACTTTTGGAACCCCTCTTCTGTACCCTTTCCCTCTCTTTAACAATACCCTCATTATCTAGAAGAATCTCTGTAATATCTTTCATCTTTAGGGAATTAAAACAAAACAAAATTCAAAAAACTTTCTGAAACTAAATAATTTTCTGTCTGAACTCTTAGTTCAGTTCTGTTCCAGAATCAGTATCTATACGATTTTACATTTGTGACAATAATTTACAATGCAGAGGTTTTGTTTTCATTTTAAGTGACATTTTATATTCTTTATATTCATGTACAGATAACAAAGACATCTTTTATTTTATGAGAATTTCTTAGAAGAGTGCTATATTTACATAACTTGTACCCCTCCCTCTCCAACTTCTCCTGTGTCTCCTTTACTCATTGTCAAATCTATAATTCCTTCATTTTTTGTTACACACACACACACATATATATATATATGTTCATATATGCATTTATAAATACAACTTGCTTTATCCAATTAACGTTGTTCACATATATTTAAGGATAACCATATGGGATTAGATAACCTATCAGGGACTCAGTTCTGAATAACACTGATTTTCCCTCTATCATCCGTCATCTATTGTCTTTAACTCTTCTTCTAGGGGTGGGACTTTTAAGATTATCCTCATTCACAATAGCATACCAAGTGCTGTTTCACTGTGCTGGTCCTGTATAGGATAGGACCATATTGTTGAGTGTCCATGAAGAGTTTTACTGTCATATTTAGAACATATAGTATACAGCAGCTTATGAAGACCTTTTATTACCGTCTATATTTTCATACATACTAAAGTGGTTTACTTTTTCTTTTTCTTTTTTTTTAGTAAGGCAGCTGTGTTAATTCAAACCCAATGGCGCAGTTACATTGCACGCAGACAGATTAATTTTTCTGCAAAACTGCATTCGACCACAACAGAAGTTCTGCAAAATCCCCCCATCAATAACCAGACTACTTCAAATGAAGAAAGAAGAAAAAATATTATGAATATTCAAGACCAAAGGGAGAAGGCCGCTCTCCGTATTCAGGTTAATTTCAATCTTTTGGTAGTGGAGTAGTCATAAAAATATTTTACTCCTCTTTCACTCAGTTATTCTTTATTGGAAAACGTTCCAGTGATTTAAAGTTACTTGAATTTATTTGACACTTGCATAGATTTGCAGGCCAAGGTTAACTGGCAGGTTGCTATGGTTCTGCTGACTGTCAGGGCTGGAGATAATCGTCCTAAAATCTGAAATATTATGACCATGATTGTGGTTCAAGCTAAACCACACAATGATATTTCAACCTTCTCTTCTTTGTAGAAATCCTTTACTTTCTTGATTTGATTTTATTTCAATATATTTTATGAGGCTATTATAAATTGTTTTGTTTTCTTATTACTTTTGCTGAAGGTTTATAGTTGATATATAGAGAAGCTACTGATGTTTTATACTTTCCCATTTATTATTATCTGGTTTATTTTCATCTTAAGGAGAATTAATAAATAATAAATATATAATAAATATAATAAATTTTGAACAAATCTACTTCCCATTTCAACATCCCATGTTCCCCTCACCACATTTGTCTCTTAGGTTCATGTGCTCTTTTAATATTGTTACTATAGCTAATAACAATATCCTATAAAGTAGCAATATACAAAATTAACCTGAAAGTCAGTAGCCTAAAATGACCATGTGGTTTCTGAACTTGAGTATACATGATTTAGAGACATGAAACAATTCATGCATGTCTGAAATGACAATACCTTGACTGTGACTCATGTATGTGTTCTTTACTGTAGTTTGCAAGTATTTTATTGACAATTTTTAAATTTATACTAATAAGGGATATTGGCCCATCAATCTCTTTTGTGCTGTTGTTGTGTATTTATTTGTTTTTGATACTGAAGTGATAAAAATATTATTCATGAGAAGAATTTGAAACGTTTCCTCTCTTTTCTATTATGGAACAGTTTGAGGAGAATTGATATTTCTTCTTTGAAGAATACTCATGGAATACTGCACTGAATCCATCTGGCCTTGAGCCTTTTTAAGTTGGGAAATTTTTACTTACTGTTTCCAAGCACTACTGTCTCAATGTAGTATGTGTCAAATCATCTAAAATTTTGAGTAGTGAAAGCTAATAGTTTTACCTAATTGATAGCTATTACATAAATATATTTAAAAATTATAACAAAATTTTAAAGTTCTAAACATACCTGCTTCAGTTACAACCTGAGAAGTCAAGAAGTGAAATTGAAAGAGAGGAATTCTGGTAATAGTAGGCTTCAATGGTCCCTTGGCCTATAGAAATGGAGGGGAAGAGAAGGGAAAGAAGAATCAATCAAAAGAAAATATGTATGAAAGAAATCATAAGTTATAATACTACTTTGTTTGATAATTAGGAAATTAATAAAGAAAGGAAGGGAATGAAATATGTAAAATGTTTACTTTAGTAAAACCAAGACCAAATTTCAAAATGAATTTTAACTTGATTGATTAGCATATCATTATTTATTCAATGAAGCTTTTCATTAAGTCTGTACTTTAGTTCATTCTTAAAAACAAAATAAATCAATTTTTCAAAATCACCTTAAATAACTTATAGAATATATACAGAGCTTGAGTAACATTATTATATTCTAGTTGTTTCTTATAAATTTACTTTGTTTTTTTACAATTATTTTGAGCATACACACAGTTTCAAATTCATATTCAAACAAAGGCTGATTGATCAGAGAACTGAAGCTTTGTATTATTAATTTTTGAGACAAGACCGGGATCTGACTGTTAAACTGGACTCACCTCAAGTCTCACCTAGATGTATTGTCTCTTCCTCCTAAATGATGGGAAATTGCAGTTTCTGTTTACTGTCATTTAGCATTCATAGACAACCATTTAAAAATTAATTTCATAATTTAGTATTTTATTCTTATATGTAAGCAATCATGCATACATATGTATTTCAATATGTTCATGTACCTCTCAATTGATTTTTATACCTCATGCATCCTAAAGCTCATTGTTGGAAAATATGAGCATCGTTTATTATCTAAGGCATTACTGGGCTTGAGGACCTAGGTTGAGAAACTTCTCTACTCCAGAATTGTTGAGGGACCTGACTGTTTTCAGCTGCATTATTGTGTGTTGACTTAATTTTTTCCTGAAATTAATTTATTTTGGGCCATGATACTACCTCCTTAATATGGTCATTTAAATACACTGTTTTTTAATGAGTTTTGTCTTATTTTAAACCTGATGATTTGAAAATGAGCAAAATTGACCTTTAAAAAATGTCTTTCTTCTTCATTCAGAATGGGTCCTGGAGGAATTGTCAGATAATTGATTGGCTGACCTACATGTGCAGTAGAGGGGAGTGTTAAAGATATTTCTCCACTTACCACAAAGCAAGTCTCTAGAGATGCAGACACATGCGGTCATTTAATTTATCTTGCAATTTTGCATGTCACATAAAGTTCAAGAAAGAGATTATTGAGCCATTAGACTAAGTTCTAAGATGTTTTATCTTCCTAATGGGATAACACAGAGAAGCTGGTTTAGGGTTTGATCTGTAACCCTGCATAACATACTTCACATTTTTGTTCAGGCAGTTTGGAAAGGCTTTATTTTACGAAAGAAACTGGTGACAGCCCTGGAGGCTATCAGGAATGAAGAATCTGGAGAAGAATATGAAGAAATAGATTTGGAGGATTTTGAATATGACGAGGTAAGTGCCAGCTACAGGCAAATACTGTTCCTAAGATTTTGTTCTAGAGAGCTTTAAAGCTGTCTCTTCAGCTGGTTGCTACGATGTAGTACTACTCCACCATCCTTGAATACATTCTAGCCATTTTGTGTATTTTGAGACACTTCCTAGGGGGGTTAGTAACATTATAAGATAGGTATTACTGCTACTTTCTACCTTTGTCTTAAACTGTCCTCCTAGTTTGTATGGTGTATAAAGTGTCAAGAGGATGGCACCAAGTCATTTTGTCCTCTAAATATAATCATTTAGCTCATTTAATGAATTCTTTATTTAATTGATGCTACTATTCAGTTCAAAATTTACAGTTTGTTTTTTATCAATTTTGGTTCTTGACTATACTATATAGGTAAGTAGCTGATTCTGAATACTTTCTCCCCCATCCCCTCCTGTCTCTAGCATTACAGATATATGTCTAGCATTTATGAATGCTGGGAATCAAAGATCAACCTTCATGCTTGCAGAGCATAATTATATATATAATATAATAATGATATATTACATAGCATAGTACATAATATAATTTATTATTATTATTATTCTTCAAACTTTCTCTCTTGTAAGCAGCAGTTCCTGATAACATGATAGACAACCTGCCTGGTGCCAGGACAGATACATAAAAAGATGTGCAGAATTTCAAGACATTTTAGTAATGCACTTGAATATCCTTATTGCAATTATCCAAAGGAAATAAATATGAAACTAGCTTGACATATTGCCTGGGATCAGGAACCTACATCAGTATACCATGATTTTGTCCCTTAAATGTCATGCTGTATAGGCAGTGGTTAACTAAAGGCAATATAGCCAGTATATTTTTTTTGTTTGATTAGATATAGTCTACCAAATTTATTAAGTACCATGCACTTTACAGTGTATGACGTTTTACCCTACGTACAATATAATAAGTTATGCAAGCACATTTTTGGATGCTTTTAGAAGAATTGAGATTTCCAGATGAAAGCAAACTTCACTGCAAGCAGTCAGAACTTTGTGTGTTTAACAGTTTCTGCACATAGAACTTCAACATGGCATATCCGGAGAGCACCCTCTACTAATCCTGACCTAGAGAAACTCGTATGTTTTATTCTTCAGATGACATTATTACTTTATTATGTTGTACAGCAAACGGATTGCTTTCTACCTCAGAGAACAGCACCACTTGTTCTCTAGTGTGTTACCTTATGAACATCTCTACAATGATAGCTTATAATCAAAAGCTACCATATAATACCAAGAAAGAACAATTGCCCACCAAGAGAGCCTATTCCTTAGCCCTTAAAGGCAGATTTTTTTTTCTCACAATACACTCTAATGGCCATTATGAGTATTGTGACTGACGGGGTTGGGAAAGAATTCAAGAATTCATCTTGTAGTATATTTAATTGAGGTTATTGTCGTTAGCCTAGGTTTTTGTCCTTCCGTTTCTATATTGACCTTCCAATAGGCTTAAGAATTTGATCCAGGTGGAGCTATGGTAGACTCTTTACCCCACACTAAGGACATATAAGTTAATTTTGTTGTTGTTGTTGTTGTTCAGAATAGTCTAATCGAGTGAGTAGTTGGGGGACTAGTGCTTCTTCAGGACACAGTTTGCTGGGACAGTAACACCTTCCCTAAAACAAAGCATTTGTCCACTCTGTAAAATAGATGTGAATGATAGTGAAAAACTATCATGGAGAGGAGGGTAATGTGATAGGTGACATGACTCAAAGGATGATTTCTGCATTTTAGTTTCTCTCTTGACAGATTTCTTATTTTATTTTATTCTTTATATATTTTTATTACTTTATAAATAATACCAATCCGAATTCCCACTTCTTCCCCTCCTCCCACTTCCCTCCCGCTCCCCCCCCACACCCAACCCCCCCCAGCCCTTTCTAGTCCTAAGAGAGGGCAAGGTACCCTGCCCTGTGGGAATTCCTAGGCCCTTACCCCTACATGCAGACTTAGGAAGGTGTGCATCCAAAGAGAACAGGATTCCAAAAAGCCAGTACATGCAGTAGAGACAAATCCCAGTGCCATTATCATTGGCCCCTCAGTCTGCCCCAATTGTCAACCACATTCAGAGGTTCCAGTTTGATCCCATGCTCGTTTATTCCCAGTCCAGCTGGACCTTGAAAGCTCAATCTTGTGCTCCGATGTGGGTCTCTGTCTCTGTCTCCATCTGTTGCCGGACGAAGGTTCTATGGTGATATTCAAGATAGTCATCAGTCCAACTACATGGGAGCAAGGCCAGTTCAGGCACCCTTCCCTCCACTGCTCAGGGTCCTAGCTGGGGTAATTCCCACAGACTCCTGGGAATCCCTCCAGAGCCAAGCCTCTTGCCAACTCCAAAATGGCTCCCTTAATTAAGATATCTCCTTCCCTGCTCCCATATCCATCCTTCCTCCATCTCAACCATCCCACTCCCCCAAGCTCTCCCCAGCCCTCCCCTTGTCCCCTCTCTCTCCCCATCTTCCCTTCCCTCTAACCACCCTCCTGCCCCCATGCTCCCAACTTTTGCCTGGTGATTTTGTCTGCTGCTAGTTTCCAGGAGGATCTATATATGTTTTTCTTTGGGTTCACCTTATTACTTAGCTTCTCCAGGATCATGAACTATAGGCTCAATGTCCTTTGTTTATGGCTAGAATCCAAATCCACTAATGAGTGAGTACGTTTCTTAATGGGTTTAAGGGAAATCACTATTAAGTTGGAATTGGAGAATCCTGGTTGAGCTGGAAGATCCAACAGAAAGTTAAATGTCAGGTGCTTTTCACCAGTTTAGTAGATTCCCCTGGGAACATTTTGTTTAGGAAGAAAAGTTTAAGGTAGTTTGAGAAACCAAATTACTCCTTCCCCCTTTATACCTCCCAGGATCTAGGGTGTTGCTTTCAAAGAAAGTAAATTGTTATACTCAATTAAACTACTCAAATTCATATATCCCACTTCAGTAGCTACCAATTTACTTGTTTTTCAAATTTATTCTTTATTTATACTTGGTTTTTCATTTGCAAATTCCATGTACAAAGTCTAAGAGAATATTCATAAACCTTCATTGGAATTAATTTAAATATCTGGGTGCTCACTGGGATTTGTTGTACCTTGAGGATGTCAGGGATGCTGGCCTGTGCTTATTTTGTTTTGTTTTATTTTCTTTCGTACAAAACATCCCAAATGCAGCCTCCCATCCCTCTAAGCCCTCCCTTCATCCCCCTCCCAGGATCCATGGTGCCTGTATTTCCCTTCAGGAAAAAAGCAGACCTCCCTGGGATAGCATCTGAATAAGGCATAGCAAGTTACAATAAGACTAGGCACAAACCTTCATATCAAGGCTGAGTGAGGGAAACCAGGAGGAAGAAAAGAGTCCCAAGTGCAGGCAAAAGAGTCAGAGATACCACCGCTCCCACTGTTAGGAGTCCCACAAAATCACCAAGCTAAACAACAAAACAGAGGGTTATTTTTTTCTAATTCTATCTGTTTCCCAGATCCAGAAAGACAAACATGATATGTACTCACTTATAAATGTATATTAGCTTGGATGTTAGCTGTTAAGTAAAAGACAATTATGCTACAGTCCAGACCAAGAGAGGCTAAGTCACAAGGGAGGCTCGTGGAGGGACTCATGCATTTCCTTGGGAAGGGGCAATATATTTTGTTACTGTATTGGAAGTGAGTGAGAAAGATGAATAGGTGGGAGAGGGAGAGAGTTTGCCAAGAGATGATTGAAGTTGGGGCACATTTGGGGGAGGGGTTGGAAACCTATTGCACTGGGAACTTTCTGGAACCTCTGAGGGTAATCTTAGAAATAACTCCTAGTAATAAAGGAAACAGAGCCTGAACTAACCATCTTCTGTAACTAGGCAAGACTACCAGTGGTAGGTCAGGGACACCATCTCAGTCATATTTATTTACTTACTTACTTACTTACTTATTTATTTATTTATTTATCTTTTTAAATAATAAATAAATAATTGGTATGGATTACATACCAATCCCAGTTCCCACTCTCTCCTCTCCCCCCTTTTTCTCCACCTTCCCCTCCACTCTGCACCCCATCTACTCTTCAGGGAGGGTAAGGCTTCCCATGGGAGTCAACGAAGTCTAGCACATTGCTTTGAGGAAGGACCAAGGCCCTCCCTACTATATCTAGGCTGAACAAGGTGTCCCTCCAAAGAGAATGGGTTCCAAAAAGCCAGTACAAGCAGTAGGGATAAATCCTGGTCCCACTGCCAGTGGTCCCAAACTCTGCCCCAGCAAAAACTGTCACCCACATTCAGAGGGCCTAGTTTGTTCTAAGTTGGTTCCTTCCTGTTAGGGCAGGGTTGGTGATTGCCTATTAGCTCAGGTTAGCTCTTTCAGTGGATATCTCCATCATGGTCTTAACCTCTTTACTCATATTCTCACTCCTCCAACTCTTCCACTGGACATTGGGAGCTCAGCCCAGTGCTCCACTGTAGACGTCTGCCTCTGTTTCCATTAGTTGCTGGATGAAGGTTGTATGATGATATTTAGCGTATTCATCAATCTGACTACAGGGCAAATTCAGTTCGGGCACCATCTCCACTATTGCTTAGGGTCTTAGCTGGGGTCATCCTTGTGGATTCCTAGGAATTACTCTAGTGCCCGGTTTCCTGTTAGCCCTATAACTGCTCCCTCACTGAGATATCTCTTTCCTTGCTCTCCGTCTCTGTTTATAAGAAAAAGAGATACTCGTCCTTCTTGGAACAATTTTGACTGAACACTAAGTGTTTAGGATTGAAATGTGACATGTATGATTCAAAGTGTGCACCCATCAGACTTAAGTGTTCTAGAACCTGAAGAATTTTGCAGATGCCATGCCGTGACCAAATTGGCGTAGCCAACGTCAGCTGATTGGGGTGGTGAAAAAGAGCAGTACTGAGATGGAATTGAAATTCTGATGCAGCCCCTAATTAGAAGCAAGCAGACCAATGGCCCATTAGACGGGGGCCCATCTAAGATGAATGGGTAACTTTCCAAATGTCCCAAGTCCAGCATACACTGGTACCTTCAGCATCTGGAAAACAGGCTCAGTCAGTGACTCAGTTTCCTCAGGGAATAGCTCTCACTGTGAGTATCCTTAAGGATGTTCTGTTTGCCAGATGTGTCAGAAACAGAGTAAATGTAACTGTGTTAGGATACTCCCTTCTCTGTGCAAGACAAACACTAGTCAGATGGCTCATTGTCTTTGACTAGTTATCATCTTCTCGTTGTCCTTACAATAAGATCACTGATTTCATAGCAGCTGGTGTGCAGCAAATATGATCATTCCTTGAATTAATCTCCATTGCCACGCAGAAATTAATTTTAAAATTTGAGCCTAAATCTTGTCAGGAGTTTATGTTGAGCTGCAATTCATTTTTCAAAGGATAGTCATCAATTTTGTTTTTATCATCTGACATGAATTGGACAAACTGTTCTGAATGTAGAAGTCAGCGGGGGTTTACTGAATTTCTGACACAACTTAACAAGTAATTACTATTAGCAGCTTCAACATGCAGCAAACATTTGCAGGATCTTATTTTCTTAATTTTTCCAGAAATATCAAAGCAAACATCCTTTATATCAACCCTTTCATTTCCAAGTCTGACTAATATCCCTTTGTTTCCTTTTATTGTTGAGTCTCCAAAGTACACCACTGTTTCTGGACTGCCATTTTCTTATCAACCTAAGATACAGGAAAGGAGAACACCAAAGGTTTCAGTGAGAGCTCCCTTTCATGTCCTCTCTCTCTCTCTCTCTCTCTCTCTCTCTCTCTCTCTCTCTCTCTCTCTCTCAATAATGTTTTATTTGAGAAGATTCACATTTGAATAATTTATTTGAAAAGTATGATTTATATGTTTGTTATTTACAACATAATGCTTTAAAATATCTCTTTCTGGTAGACTCAAAATCTTAATTTTATGATCAAATGAAGTAACCGGCATGTTTATTGTTTTCTGGTGAGAATAGTTAAAATTCTCTCAGAGATGTTTATTTAGTACATTGTTAGTTGCTACAATTACCAAAAAATTCAACAGATTTCTGAAACTTATTCCTCACTGCCCAATTGCAACTCTTAAAATCAGTCTAACTGTGAGATAGAAATTTGTGTTCTGGTTATCCTTGTTCATAAAGAATCACAGAAGTTTATTCTGAGATATATCAGATAAGATAACCAAATTAAATAAAATTTAGATAATTATATCTTAAATGTACAGCACTTATATAATTAATATAACTTCATTGAATAAAGATTAACTTGGGAATTGTACAAATGAAAAAATATGATTAAGGATGAAGAGAAGGAGTTAAAAGGGAGAGATTTGACATTTGATGTATAAGCTGTTTTCCCATTTGAAGAGCTGTGTATCTTAGCAATGATATACCATACATTTTTATCCATTCTAACAAATTTGTCTTTTATGTCCACCGAAAATATTCTGAAATTTGGAAAATAAATATTAAGCAAACCTTAGCTTATATGTAGTATTTAAAGAACATTGATTCTGATGTGTTAAAATATTATAGTTTAAGTATCAATGTTTAATAGAAAACATAATTTGCACGACAGTGAGCTAAAATACTGATGCTTCTTGGCTACTTCTAGACTTAGCTGGAAGTCAGTAATGAGTAAATATGCAGAAAAATGTTTACCTAATTACTGCAGCAATCAAATATCAGCTCTTTCCTTAACCAAAGTGTGTGGATGAAAATCCCATCATTGTTTTATAATGTGGGCCTTAACCAGAGGCGCAGCCTCTTGCAAGAGCAAGTAAAGCTTTCCTATAAATGCGAGCCCTCGTAGACTCTGGGACTATTTCTGGTTACCGTACAGTTTCAAGGAAACTTGGTAGAGCTTTGCAAGTGACGCCTTGTCCACTCTAATGCCGTTACTCATGCAGGATGCCTTGGAGAAAGACTGGGCAGTTTCAGATTCCACCGGCGGCTTCCCTTCACAAACACTGCCTCTCTCCAATCAGCTGCCCTGGCCAAAGGTAAGCTGCCAGGGACACTTCGGACTGCTCCATCTTTGCTGGCTCTGAAGGTTCTGCTCTGCCGGGGTGATTAATATTGCAATTTATTGACCTGAAAAATATAATTACTTTTAGAAGCCTTTGACTTCCTCCTCATCCCCAGATGTAATTTTTCATGTAGCTTTTCTTTCATTTGTTCTTTATTTTTTTTTTTTCTTTACTTTGGATTTCTTTCAACGCTTTATTTAACAGTAGCCAGCAGGGGGAAAAAATGATGTACCTCAGCTGCATATTTGGCAGTAGACTAAAATCACTAGTTAACAGCTCTTTGAAAATGCAGAAAGATACGCTGAGAGACAGCAGCTGAGGATCCTCAGCCAGAGGTCAAGGGACCGCAATATCTGTTATTTATTTGATCATCTTTGAAGTTTTTGTTTTCTGAGATGTTTTAAGCTTTGCAATTAATCATTTTGTACACATGAGCTATACCAAAAAGCATAGTCTTCACCTTGCAACCAAAGAATGAATATTCAAACATGTTCCAAAACTTTCATCTTATTATCATTTTAATTTTGTAATGAATATCTCTTTTGCGATTGCTCAGGTTTATGCATGTTAGGTAGCAATAACAAAGCTGGAAGTGTTCAATTCATTTTACATTTGTTTTCATTTTTAAAATAAGAATGCTCGGACGTTGAAACATGCTGAAACCTCCCTTGCTGGACCCACGCGTCCAGCTCAGGCTTGGCTGTGCAATGAGAAGGAAAATTTGTTTTCATCAGAACACACGCAGTTAAGTGGCAGGTAAGCTAAGCTGCTCTTTTAAGCGGGGATGAACTGATAAAGGGCAAGGACAAAAGTCCATATCCCTTACAAAAGAAGAATCATTATAAAAATAAATGTGAATTTCTTGACTTAGAAGACGAAACATGTGCGATGGTGAATTTGAAAATTCTTGGGTTCACATTATGTGGAGGAAACCCATGAAAGCAGCGACAAGGCTTACATTTTGTTGAAATAATGAAATAGTTGTACAAACGGATCTCCCCGACTTGGCAGGTAGAAAGGAGAAACAGAATGAAAATCCCAGTGCCACAGTCTTCTCAGCAGAAGAACAGAAGTATGCTCCGTGTAATTGAAATGTAAACATTTTAAATTAATTGAAGGCTTTTATTACTTTTCAAGATAAAGCTCCTCTGTGTCTTACATAGATTTCATTTTCAAGTTTGAGACAACATAAACAGCTTGTAGTTTTTAAAAAAGCTGACGTACTTGTGTTGATTTAGATTTTTTAAAAAAAATGCAATTCTGTTAACAGATCTGAAAATAGAACTTTATCTAGGACACCTGAATCAAACACAAGTAAAAAGAGTTTGCTGCAATCTGAAAAGGAGGAAAAAATTTCAGAAGAATGGTAAGTCCTCCATTTTATACTAAAGAAAACAAGAAATTGAAGGACTGCTGGATACCCAAGGCAGATATTGGGGGGGGGGCATTTAAGAAGTCATTCTTCTTTAAGAAACTAGCTCACCTGTGTAGTAAGTTAGGTTTTCTTAAGTGAGATTACAAATTTATTGAATGCAGTATAATTGATACATGTACATTCACATGTATGTCTATGTATAACTAGGTTCTTGATATTGTACATTTATCTTTTCAATAGGGGCTTTAAGGATATCTCCACAGCTCAGCAGATGCTAAAGAGGGCACAGAAAATGAAATCAAAAAAATTAAGGAAAAAGTTAGGTAAGTAATGACCTTTGAGCAGTAGCTGTATGTGATATTGACTATAAAATTTTAAATTAAGCTTTCTATGTCATATTTAATATAAACAAATTAATGCCCAGGTAACTATATCTAAGATGATAGCTACAATCCTCAACTTCCTAAGAAAATTATGCTATCACATTTAATGATATATTTTGCCCTTTTTATTTTAAAAATATTCTCTGTTCCATACACATTAGTACTGACTTTTCTGTGTGTTGTTCACTCTAGCAATTATGCTATAATTTCTCTCTAAGCTGGTATATTCATGGAATGTTGATTCAAAAACCATCCGCTTAATGGACTCGTTCCTTTGAGAGCTCTCAAGTTGCTTGGTCAGTCAGTAAACTAAATACATAAGTTTGGTGGATTTTATCCACAGAGATTGCACATATGATGCCTTGGAAAGAAACGTAATTTATTTTTATTATGATTTTTGAAGAATTTGGCAAAAATTGGAAGGCATCTTCTTAAATTTTTTCTTTTCACTTCTGAAATTGTTATACAAATTATTTATCTTTCTTTAGACACTTTGATTCAGTTTTGTATCCAAGATAAATATAAAGAAATAGGAAACAGCTATGATTTTATATATTTTCTTAAAATTATTTGAAATTATCTACATTTTTTATTTAATGTTTATCTTTATCATCTTATGAATTCATGGGTTTTTCAATAAGGCTCATGGCTTTTCTAATGTTCACTTTTGTTATAATTAACCAAGAAGAAATGTCTATTCTTGTAGTTCAGAAATTACATTTGCTTTCTGTGTTCATTGAATTATGAATTGTATACATATGTGAAAATGCTTAAAATATATATTAAAATAGCAAAAATAATTTCTTATTTTAATAAATCAAATGCTTGTACAATAAGCCAATTGACTGATAAGTCACTAGCCATTAATAATTTCATGATAACTCATTTTTGAGTTTTTAAACATGTAGTTTTTCTACGTTGGTGTGTTATTAGCCATTTTAGTTTCAATGCTCTATCCTTTAGAGATAACTATTATTTTGTAGCCCATTCATCAGATACAAAGCATTGACCATTTCAACACACTAAAATGAGTATGAGTGGGTGCTGCACCTTCCGTTTGCCTATACCTTCTCTTCACTTATTTTGAAAGCCCCAAAGAAGTCCATCTGCTGTGAACCGGACCATGTTATGTCTATGTCAGTAAAACGGTAACTCCAAACCCAGATTGTAACTTCAGTGCCAAGTTCAAAGGCAAAATGGTTTGAGAACTGACCCAGTCAATATTTAGTAAATAATTGCTCTTTCTATTCTAGAAGTTTTGCTAGACCTTCTGTTAATAGAAGTAACACCATGCTTGCAGTCCCCTCTCATGAAGAGAGCTGAGAAAAAGTTTACGTCACCAGAACTTTCATGATTCTGCCAGTGTAAATGTCTTTCTTCCTGTTGTTATCACCAAAACCTTATTCGTATTGGTTGAGGGAGATGTGAAAAGTCAACATTATTAAATGTTTGAGCAAATGATTCAGCAAGTAATATCTGCATAGATGAGACTTGTCCTTTCTTTCTATTTTACTTATTTATTTTAAATTTTATGGTCACAGCTATATAATCTTAAACACACATACACACACAAAAAAAAGGAGCTTCTTTTTGTCAGTCACAAGGGGGCATGATAGGGTCAAAAATGAGAAAGGAGAGCCCACAGGTAGACTTTGTAACACCATTTTAAACTCAGTGTTTGGCAGTGGTGAATCAGTGGGATGGGCCAGGTAAAGGTTGTGGCCTACAATTGTGACTTTTAAATGAAAATCATCACCATCTTACAGGATTCCAAAAGTCTCCTTACCACTGATTGAGAAATTTGAATCTTTTCGTTTCGTGTTTGTTGCTTTTTTTTTTTACATCAACATTTATTAATGACACAAAATCAATTTGTCTTTCCACTCAGAATGTTAAGTAAAGAATTTAATAATGAATCTCTCATGGTTCTTGTGATTTCCCTTATTCCCTTCTTAGAGTAGACATACCCCATTGGAATAAGAGAGGTTAAAAATGAGAGAGAGAGAGAGAGAGAGAGAGAGAGAGAGAGAGAGAGAGAGAGAGAGAGAGAGAGAGAGAGAGAGAAACAGACAGAGACAGAGAGAGAGAGAGAGAAAGAGAGAGAGAGAGAGAGAGAGAGAGAGAGAGAAAGAAAACCAGAGGGACCTTCTTGAATGATCACGTTGTGTTTAACTGCTGTTAAGTCCGAGATTTAGCACTCAGACCATTTTAATCTACGAATAAATTATTTAAGGCTCTGTACAATTGGTTTTTGTTTAGAGATTAAAATTTAAATCAAATTCCTGGTGCCTTTCCAATTTCATAATTCAATGGTCATGTGCCATTAATTTACATGAATATGACAGCAATTTAAAATTGTAGTCACTAATGTTCAAAAGCAATATTTAAATCTAAATTCTGCTAAAACTGTAAAGTTACCTAGAAAATCTTAAATATTAGTGGACATATTCAATACTTCTTCTGTGGAAAACTTGCCAACGTGAAAATTTGTAGCCACAAGAGGGCAGCATTGTCCACAAAAGTGCTCTGAGCCTCACTAGTTCTGTTGGCTGCAGAGATCAGGGTGTGTATTGTCTGTCACTGTCTATGAATTACATGGAGTCAACAATATTCTCTGTTCTAACAAAGCAGTGAGCCTCAAAAAAAAAAAAGCCAAATATACACAGAGAATGCAGAGCTTTAAATATCGGTCATGAAAAAATATAAAATAATCTGGTCCCGAGAAAGCACTTAATATTTCCCGTTTGCATCTTTTACATACTTTCATTAGCCAAGAAAGATGAATCCACAATATTTATTTAATGTTCAAATGAGAACATGGCAAGTGCCGAAAGTCCAGTGAGTGGAGAAAGTAGGAGTTAATGAAATAAATTGCCGACAGAGGAAGAAAACTGCCGCAGAAACTGACTAATCATGAAGCACAGTTGAGGACAAGCGGGGGCAGCTGTGAGGGAAGCCCCAGTGCTGCTGAAATCTGCGGGCATAAATAAAGCCATCTGCTCTAAGGAGCAGCGGGACCCAGTGTCCTGCGTAGCAGAGTTTACAGGCCTCTGGCCCAGGCCTGGTTTGTTTCATCTTACTACTTTGATATAAACTATCATTTGCTCAGGAAAAAAAAAAAAGAGAGAGAAACAGAAGAGGGAAGAATGGGAAGATGATGACAGGATTGCTTGCAGTCTTGAGAGGAGGTCAACAATGTGTGACGTTATCGTTGTCAAGGCTTACTCAGTTTGTTTGGGTTGTGGTTGTTGTTCTTCTTGGTGTTTTTTTTTTTTTTTTTTTCCTTCCTGATTGACACCAGCTAGAAACAATACCGACTAGTCTCGTTTTTGCTCATTGCCCGTCTCTTTGCTCTGTTGACCTACTGAAGGAGACACAAAAGTAACTTCAGCATTTGGGGCCCAGAAATGGAGTTAGCAGACACTGAGGGAAGTTTAAGATGCAGGCCTGCAATGAAGAACATGGTGTGTAAAGTGAGAGTTCCTGGTCGATTGGAAACATGCAGGGTCAATAACCCCAGGGTAGTGAGCATATCTGGGAGTAAGACTAGACGAGTGGGCTGAGGAGAGGGAGTGGGTGGCTCATCTGGATGCCTAGCACGCCTTAGAAGCACTAAGTAGAGGGATCTGGGTGCCTAGAAGCTGGCCAAGTATAGGGCAGAAAATGTAGAATGCTAAAATAATATGTTTTTCTCTGTATTTATCAGATCGATGCATGTTGAATTTAAGCTTCTATAATTAAAGAAAAGAAAAAAAAAAACAAGATGAAACCAAGCAGATTAATTTGTTTTTGAAGGAAAGGTGGCAGACAGGATAGAAATGATTCACCAATTATTTTGATACCTACTAGCATTAAGTATGTGATTCTCTCTTGTTCAGTAGGTGTTCGTTGGTGGGTTTATTTCCAAGAAAAAAAAATGGCTTAAGCCAGTTCCTACCATGACATCCTATCCAAGAATTAAGTAATGTAGAAAATTAGGAAAGATTCATTTTGTGCATTTTAAGCTGTTCATCGGTTGTGGGGAAAGAGTTTCCAAAGTGGTAATCTAGCTAATGAATTTGAAAGTGAGAGGGATCAAGAATGATTAGTATTGACCAAATTTCTTAAGATTTATTTTAGTGACCTCTAAGAGTTCTAGAAAGAATCAATAAGAATTTGAGCCAAACACTAATTTGGTGTGCTTCCAAAATCAATAATATAATTCACTTTGAATTGTAAGCAGTTGAGTATCTATCTATTTTGCATAAAACTCCCTGAATCTACTAATATGATTGGCACCTGACTCAACAAATTACATTAAAGATATTGACAAACATTTAAAAGTGTATATTTATGGCTTTGTTAGTCTTTAATCAATTATAGATTTATATATGGGAAGTTATATTTAAATTAGTACATAATATGCAGGTCTATGCAAATAAAATTGGTGCTAATGGGATTCAAGAGGGCCAGTGTGGATCCCAAGCCACGCAGCCGTGTTTTCCATATGGTGCTGGTTTAGGGACATGATGGATGCCAGAGTAAGAGAAGTAGAGATTCTCACTTAGTGTTTTCAGAAAGCTGATAAGAGCAGGCAGGATGTGACAGAGGAGTTTCTCTGTGAAGTACTGGAGAGGGCAAAGGACCAATGCCTGAGCTGCCTATGAAAGTGAAACCCCAAGATGTGAGCTGGAGAATGTTTTCCAAGGAAAACTGTATATAGGGAGTGGAGACAGTCAGAGAGAGATGTCTGCTGTAGGAAGCAAAACGAAGGGCAAGAGCCCCTAACCCTTTGAAATCGAAGTCCTGGAGATGAGACACAGCTACAGGGTTTGGTCTTTGTTTAGCTGGGTTCTAGTCTTGCTTTAGTCTGGTATTTCCGTACTGTGTCCCTATTCTTTCTCTTGGGAATGGTAATAGATACAGAATCTATACTGTGCCACTGTATGACGGAAGTATACGATTTGCATTTTTATTTTACAAGGGTTTATGACTAAAAGTTTGTCTTGATTTAATAGAAGAGACTTTAGATTTTGGACAGTGCTAAGACTGCAGATCCCTGTGAAAACAATTGATGTGGAATTTATGAAATTCACATTATTTTATGGCCATCAACTAGAGACAAAGCTGAGTGCAGCAGCTCAAATTAGAACTGTCCACCATAGTCTCAAGCATGTGAACACTTGGTCCCTAGTTGATAACACAGGTTGAGCGAACCTTCAGAGGTAGAGGAAGCACATGAGACAGGGTATAATTTAAAAATCTTGCCTGCTGTCAGTTTGTCTGCTTTGTGGTTTTGGTTCAAGATGTGGGCTCTCAGCATCCTTCTTTTAGGTCCATGGCTGCCGTTTGTTGCCATGACTCTGCTCAGCCATCATGGATTTGTATCCCTCAGGAATCATAAGCTAAAATAAACTCCCTCTTTTCATGTTGGTTTTTTGTCTAGGTGCTTTATTACAGCAATATAAAAGTCACTAATACATTTGTGCAGTTTGAAGAATGTGGTCTCCCATGCAGCAGACCCTGGGTTGAGCCTCCAGCAGTTCACAAAAATTGGGCATGGTGGCAGATGGTTGAAATCCCCTCAGAAGTTAAAGGCAAGGATGTTGAAGTTAAAACTATCTTAAAAGTTTGAGATCAGTCTACATAGACTGTTTGAGACCCTGTCTTTTAAAAGTCACAATAACTACATTATATTTCAATATAATATATTTCAACTTACATACCAACCACAGTTCCCCCTTCCATCCCTCCTTCTACTCACCAACCCTGCTTCCCTCCAACTCATCTCTCATCCATTCCTCAGAAAGGGTAAGGCCTCCTATGGGAGTCAACATAACCTGGCACATTAAGTTGAGGGAGGACCAAGCCTTTTCTTGGTTTTATTTAAGAAGAATGGCATTAAGGTAGTTAATTGTGGACTGAATGAAGCACATAGGAGGCTGGAGTAGCCAAGCTAGCACCCAAAAACAGTGACATGTAGTAAAAGACACAGTTGGCGCCGAAAGCATGACAGCTGCGCCAAAAGTGTGAGAGCTAGAAAAAGGCACAAAATTCAAAAAAACAGTGACATTTACATAGCCCATAAAAATATTCCCAGCCAAGATGGTGCTGAAGGGAAGCAAAGGGGGTGGAGACCTAACTTATTTACAAAAAGAATGATTGGAGTTAAAGATGGGGTAAGATGATTCAAAATACCTGGTGCCCTGGTGATCTCCGTTAGGGGCTATAGGAGGTGCTGCTCATGCAGACGTGACTGGTGATGTTATTGGTTAATTCTCCTACTTCCTTTGGGATTTGTGGGGTTTTTGCTTTATAACTTGCATGCTGTAAGGAAATAAAGGAGTTCCTGCTTGACTGGACTCCCCACTGCATCTGATTGTCTCTAGAACGTGGGGGCTGGGTGGCAAGCAGGGCACTTCCTCTCCTTAGCCAGGGCCAGTTACAGGCAGGTGGCTCAATTCTTTATGGGGGGCAAGGGAGTGTTCTGCACAGGAATCCCACAGTTAATCACAACTGAGACTATAGAAACTGAAAAAAAAGATTATGCAAAAAATAGAAACTTAATGAGTAAAATAATGAGATAATTGTTATAAAACATCACACATGGAGCCAAATGCATAAATGAATTTGGTTCTCATACTTGAAAGTCTCCTTAGATGTGTTTAAAGATTTTTTTACACTGGCAAGGCATTTTAGGAGAGAGAAAGAACTTTTAAAATAACGATAATGATAGACAAGTATACTCACTGGGTTTTTGATCCTACTGCACCTATTGGTTTTGTGGGAGCCTAGGCAGTTTCGTGGATGCTCACCTTACTAGACCTGGATGGAGGTGGGTGGTCCTTGGACTTCCCACAGGGCAGGGAACCCTGATTGCTCTTTGGGCTGACGAGGGAGGGGGACTTGATTGGGGGAGGGGGAGGGAAATGGAAGGCGGCGGTGGGGAAGAGACAAAAATCTTAAATAAATAAATAAATAAATTTAAAAAAAGGAAACAATGTTGGATCCAACCGTCTGCTCTGTCTGCCTGTTCTCTGCACAGCCTACTTTATTCTCTGAATGATTAAAGGTATTTTCCAGTAACTTAAATCATTTTAAAGTGTTGTCATTATGTGTGTTCAGCTTCATTTGCTTGTGGCAATTATTGAATGCCTACACTTATGTGAACATGTAATTTACACGCGCTGTGTTACCTCTCCTAGTCAAAGTCAATGTTGGAAAGACTTGACAAAGTGCATGACCAGTTTGCTTGTATCCGTGTAACTAGTAAAAGGTGGACATAGGATCTGGCCCACTGTACAATGTACACAAAATGATCCATAAGCTCTTCTCTTTACAGTATCCCTGTTTTCCCAGCTTCCCTGCTTGACTATGTGTTTTTTAAACTTCAACTGTTATTATTCATGGTGTTATTTCTAGGGAGTTTTGGCATCCATTTTTTCTCTTTTTTAATAATTTATTCAAATTCACTGTATGCACCTTGCTTGAAGGTGTCAGATCCCCTGAAACTGTAGTTTTTCTCATTTTAAATCACCATATATCAGTCTTCTTATCATTATTGCATTGCAATTAAAATGAACTTTTGAATCAGTTTAAGGTGATGCAGTCAACATGTTCTGAAACTAAAAGGATATTTATGGTGCAGTAGGGCTCCTCATATGCTCTTGGAAAATAAAATTATTTTCATGAGTATTTTTCAGACATGCACTCTAAATAGTTTCTGTATATTAAAGGATTGGCTCTGAATTAACAGTATGAAAGAAGTACGTACTAATGATGCCCCTGCTTCACATATGAATTTGTACAGAGCAAGAATGCTTGCTGCTTTTTCCAAGAAGGTTCCAGTCTTTTATCCATAATGTTTTATCCCTTGGAGTAAAAGCTAACCAATGATTAACCCATCTATCTATTTCCTATATTCAGAGTATTTTCCAAGGACATAAATTATTAGAAAATGTTATTATGATTTGCGCTGCCTTACGCTTGTTTGTGTCACGTATTGAGTGCCCACATGTCGGCAATGAGCATGATTGATTTTCAACCATTTTACCTTTTTGCATGGAAAGTCAGTACTGTTCACGTTGGGAAAAGACAAATTGGAAGAGCAGTGTGTTCACATTCATACAACTGGTAAAAGCTGATACTGCTATCTAACTCAGTTATATTGAATTGTAGCACCATCCTTCTGAAAGCAACATAGATCTAATAAGAGTGTGAGAAGAAAGAAGACTAAGAGAGTGGGAAGATGATTATGACCAACGACAGCAATGAGCAATTGAAATTATACTTTTCATTATTGACTTTTTTTTTTTAGATATCACTAGATATGTGGATGGCTTATCTAGCATCCTGCCTGTGCTGGAAAGTATCTGTATGTTTGTTATTGTTGCTAATTCCTAGAGAGTTTTTGTAGGAACTCCCAGTGATTATAATACCATAGGGTACAGATACCTCAGAAAGGAGCCAAACTCTGACTTACAGTTTCTGTAGACATGATCACAATAGTGTTTGTGAAACACGAAAAGGAGCTTTAATGGGTCTCAGTTGTGCTGGGAGACTACTGGGGATTGCCAGGTGACTCGGCATGGAGCAGCCTTCCACAGATGCTTTTCTTTCTCCTCTCGGTGTACAGTTTGAAACTTACTACTATAGCACTAAACTATTAGTGTGCTTTAGTGTCTTCAATTTTTAAAACGTTGACTCTTTGTTTGATTTAATTTTATTATACTAGACATTAATTAAGAATTCTTACTCTCCTAGACTTTTTTCCAAATAATTTAAGATAGGAGAAAAAAAAAAAAGTACCACCCTGAAAAGGTGGCTTTACCATACTAAAAGTGCTTAAATTTCCACAAGCTTTCATCCCTTGGTGCTTATATCCCTGTGTTTTCAGTCTTAGGCAAAAACCTCTAAATTCTGCAGGGCCAAAACCCATTTTTCACATCCCATACAATCATTTGTTGTTAATAAAAAATTCCAAGGCCCTACATTCACTGTGACTCACCCTGTAACTTGATAGAATAATACTATTTATAACTTTAAAATATAGAAAAAAATTAACTTTTAGGTTCTGAAAATACATTATTATAGAAGAGAAACCACCACTTTTTCATGATACGAAGATTTTCTAGCAAGCTGGTTTCTTGCTGTCTTGCTTCCATCGCACAGCTGTGTTCTCTGTATAGTTTAGGGAGGATGTAGTGAGTGTACCGTCCTGCCTGGTAATCAACTGCTTTTTCTAGTTTGAGGAGAAATACTAGGAAAGGAACTAAAATAACTGTAGCCTGACTCCCAAATATAAAGATGATGTCAAAAAATATATGTTCAAATTTTCACAATATTCTTAACATTTCTGACTTTCTACTAAAGGGGGGCCATAGGATTGATGATACTACTAAGAATATACAATTTCTGGGCACTTCTTTTTTACATTATCAAGTTTTTAAAGGCATTGGCAATTTCACAGAGACCCAATGGAATGTGTATTATTTCTAATAACAGCAAAAGGAAAAACATGTTCATATAAGAGAAGGAGTAACCAAGAGCTGGTCTTTCTTCTTCTTTTTTTCTCTAGAACCTTCTGTAAGATTAGCATTATTCAAAAAACACAAAAATGAAGTTCGTGTTACAAAATCGTCGAAGAGGTCACAGCTGAGGAGGGTCAGTTACTTTAAAGGTAAGGTTTAATGTAAGACACAGAAAGATTAAAATGTTCTGTAAAAATAGGAAAAAAAGGTGTTTGGGGCTGGAGAGATGGCTCAGTGGTTAAGAGCATTGCCTGCTCTTCCAAAGGTCCTGAGTTCAATTCCCGTCAACCACATGGTGGCTCACAACCATAGAGGTCTGGAGCCCTTTTCCGGCCTGCAGGCATACACACAGACAGAATATTGTATACATGATAAATAAATAAAATAAATATTTTAAAAAAGAAAAAAGGTGTTAAAACGTTTACAGCCCTCCTATGACCTAAAGTACACACATATATGTATGCATGTGTGTGTTTGTGTAAAATAGCCTCAAAGAATTAAATATATTTATCAAAATAAAAACCCTATTTACAATGCTAATACAAATGAAAACCCTATTTTCATTTGTGCTAGTGTTTATCTAGATTTTATGTGCCTTTGATTGTTGTATAACTAACCATGTAATAATGTATCATCAGTTTTAATATTGATATAAATTCTTAATGAGTATAAATTATAATAGCTTGAATTAGTGAGACTGACCACATGATATTCTGATACACTTATAGTATGTCAAATGTTGTTAAACAGTACAAATTATACTTTGTTATATTGAAAGCTTTCTTAGTTACTTTTAGAATGAAGGTTTTCACGTCCAGTTCACAGGTTTCCATTCTGACTTCACCATACCAAAGAATTAAATTCTCGTATCATTAAACAGGACCATAATGTGACTTACCAGTTTCATACCTATTTGTAGTACTAAAATTTTATTATTTATGCTACCCATACTTCCTGATAATTATTTATAACAGAGGGAAAAAGGCATGTACTTTTGAATGGAAAATAACTATTATCTTCTTATTTTTTATGTAATAAATCTTAAAAAGCATACATTATTGATAACGTGATCAAGAATGGGTTCATTGTGATTTACATTTTATTATGATTTGAAAGTCACTAAGTTATTTTGATGTAGAGTAACATATTCAAGTATGTATGACCAGAAGACATGACATCTAGAGTTTTCTTGGAAGTCTATAACAACAAGCAAATATTTTAAAAAATACATAAACATGTGTGGAAGGTGATTGAGATTATTGCTTAAATAGTTTATGGCATGTATATATGTATATGGTATTATCCATTATATTGTTTTAATGTTTGCAATTTTTCATGGTAAGACAATCTCAAAATTTAGTGTCCATTGAGGGTGTCAACTCAGTATTTGTACTGGAGAGATGACTCATTGGTTAACAGCAGAGGATACTCTTTAATAGGACCTGGATTCGAATCCAGCATCTACTTGGAGACTTGCAATTATCGGTGACTCCAGTTCTAGAGTATACAAAACACCTTCTAGCCTCCTCAGACACAAGGTACACACCAGGTACACAGACCACATGCAAGCAAAAATATCCATACACATAAAATTAAAAATAAAAACCTCAATACTTTAGGAAATACTGTAATAGAATTAAATTAGATTTCCAAAATTAAAACAAGCCTGGGCTTTCAAACAGCAGTCTATTTCCTGTTATTATTTTAGCTAGCAGTTCACCCTTTTCATAAGTAATAATAACAGTTGTGGTAAGATTATCATCAATTCTATCGATAACTTTCCTCTGTTAAATAAAGACATCCTTACTACAGAAAGTAAGTACCTAGAAGAAAGAGACATTTAATTTAGATGACTTGAACATTCAGAAAGAGCTCTATCCTAAAATGTTCCAGTGTATTCCCAGTTCCTACCCATGAGAGTGCATGTGAAGAGCATGTTTTGTTTTGTTTTTTTTTTAACTATGAACCAATACAAAATAGGCTAAGAAAAGATCACAGTAGGGACAGAAGACGTTTTATAGAGCACGGGGTTTGCACATAAGTTTTATCTGCATAATTGTATTTGTTTTTTTTCTTCCATGCAAAATGTGTTTGTTTTGGTGCTTTAAGATTTGTTTTGCAGTCCTCCTAAATATTTGGAACTTCCCTTATTATACTGAATGAGCATTATGGATAGATAGATAGATAGATAGATAGATAGATAGATAGATAGATGGATGGATGGATGGATGGATGGATGGATGGATGGATAGATAGATAGATAGATAGATAGATAGATAGATAGATAGATAGATAGATAATTTCCCAACTTGTGGGTATTAGTTATTGTGGTTATTCTAAGGTGTTTGATTTTAAGGAATGGGCTTTGACAAGAATGATTCTACATGAGAAAAATTTCCAATTAATATGCAAGCATTTGTCTCTTTAAAAAGACATATTAAAGATAAAATGCTAGTGTCAAGCCCAGTCTTTAGAATCAAATGCCTTAGGAGGACATTCTCTTTGGAGGGATACCTGACTCAGCTAGATATTGGGAAGAAGGCCTTGGTCTTACCTTGAAGTGAAGTGTCAGACTTTGTTGACTCCCCATGGGAATATTTACCCTTTCTTAGGTGTGGATGGAGGCATGGAGTGGAGGGAGAGGTAGAGTGGAAATAGGGGAGGGAGTGGATATAGGGATAGTTATGTAAAATGAGAAAAGATTATATTTAAAAAATTCTTAATTAAAAAAGGGGGAAAAAGTTAAAATTCCATGCTGTTGCCTGTGCTTCTCTGAACTCACCCTGCAACTAGACATACGTTTGCTGATGCAGAGGGAAGCTTAATTGAGCAGGCTGACCTGCTGAGCTGCCCAGTGATTGGTGCATTTTGAAACCAAGTCTTTTTTGAGATACAACTTGTATGTTATATGGAATATTTTAAGACAATTCAATTAATCTTACTGTTACATAACCAGCATTACCTTTTAGTTTTAGGACATTAAAACTTACTTTCGCTTAAGAAAAAAATGAAATAAAATTAATAGTCAGATTCTGAACCCCCCATGAGGGAAATCAAAATTAAATTTGCTATAGGTTTTAGATTAAATAACTCCATGTGGAATAATATCTCATGACTATGGTATGCCAGCATTGTTTTTTTAATTTCCTTATTATCTTCAAATTAGATCATAGTATTATTTGAATATTGATTCTATAATTCCAATTTATTTTATAGTAACATTGTAGGAGTTATAGAAAACCATTCTTTTTAAATTTTTCAGTCATGACCACGTGAAATATCATGAGTCTTGCAAATTGTATTAAATGCTGTTTCAGATATCAATAGACAAATGATGATATCCACGTGCGAAATGTGGTTACACCTGAGTAATATTTGATATGGAATTAATTATATTAAATAGCATGATGTAAAAATCTTACCATTTATCAGTCCATTTTTATAAAATACCTGTTTATATCAATTGCCACATTCGTGAAATGAAGAAAATGACTTTTCGTTAAACCTAGTCAAAGCAAGGCTTTAATCACGTCTCTATGCAGGTTACCCAGAAGTATGCCACGTGTCAGATATTATTTGATTCTTCCTCCAGGACTGCGGGCCTAAAATTATATAGATTTATACAGGGCTGCTTGCTTGTTTGATTGTTAGGTACCTCTCTTCATTTATCTCTGCTATCACATATAATTCTCACTTGGGTTTAAAAATCTAATCTTACCTTGAAGGTCAAAACTCTATATTCCTTTGAAAGGCTCTGATCAGTTAAGAATACTGAAGTCACCCTTCAGTGTTTGCTACTGACCTAAGAGGAGGCAGAGTTGCCGTTCTAAGTGTGGATGGCGCAAGTTGTCTAACACAGCTCAATTTAAAAAAGAAAATAAAAAGCTCTTTCAACTATCTGCTTTAATTATGTTCTATAAATAAATAGTAAATCAAAGCAAGCAAATTTAAATGTTTATAGTATCGCATTTATGAAACTGCTTTACAACGAGATTTACAGGTTCAAACAGTATAAAGCGATATATGAATGATCATGTCACTATCCTGGATAGTCCCTGCTGTAAGTTATTTTAGTCTTTTTAATGTTCATTGATAAATCATGATTATATAAAATTATCAGGAACAACATGAACTTTTGAATATGTATACCACATGGCATGATTAAATTTAACTAATCAGTCTGTATATTACTTCAACTACTTATAATTTCTATGGTGAAATATTTAAATTATTCCATTAACTATTCTGAAGTAAACAATGTGTCATTATCTTCTCTATTACCTTTGATGTATGTTGGGACTCAACACCTGCTTTTCCTGCCTAGGTCCTAATCAGCAATTTCTCATTCCTTCACTCTCCCTACCTTGACTTTTGGTACCTGTTTTTCTACTCTCTATGTTCATCAGTTCAACATGACTAGATTCCACTTAGAAATACATGGTATGTCTTTTGTGTTTTCTATGTCGCTTACAGTAATGTCCTTCGATTCCACTCATGTTGTCACAATAATCTAATCTCCTTCACCTTGTTTTATTTTGTTTTTGTTTTTCGAAGCAGGGTTTCTCTGTGTAGCTTTGGGGCCTGTCCTGGAACTAGCTATTGTAGACCAGGATGACATCGAACTCACAGAGATCCACCTGCCTCTGCCTTCCTAGTGCTGGGATTAAAGGTGTGCATGCGTCACCACAGCCCAACATCCTTCTTAAGACTGAATAATATTTCTTTGTATATGTATATGATATTTTCTTTACCCACTCATGTTTTATTAGACTCTGCAGTTATTGACATATTTTGGTGACTATGTTTAATGCAATAAACAGGGTCTTCCAGAGATGTGTCTAGCATTCTGTCTTCATTACTATTAGATAATTATCCAGTGCTGAGATTGATAAATCAAATGATACTTTGATATTTCTTGATCAAATGATACTTCTATATGCAGTTTTATGAGAAATTTCCATCATTCTTTAATTAATAGCTTGTGCTATTTTATATTCCTCTAACCATGTATATTTGTTCCTTTTTCTCTACATGATGGCTTTTTACCCTTTATGTTTATAATAAAATCCATCTAGCAAAAGTATACAATATTTCATTATGGTTTTTATTGTCCTTATGTTAGTGATTCTGAACATTTTCTCATATACAG